ATTTTTGAGTTGTAAGATTTATTTGTTCTAAGCCCTTCTTAATAACGTTGTTTCTGTTCTCATACATTCTTATCGGTAATATTTCTATCATGTTCGTAGTATTTCCACATAATGTCCCAAAGTCGGAGAAATATGTTTCACCCTGAGTTTAATCTTAGTGTCTCTTGAAATTGACTTTGCATTGCACTTATATATATGTATCTATTTTACTTTACTGAGCCGCGCTTTAGTCGGCCAGGTACGACATCTATTGAGCAACCACTGATCAGTTGGGTATGATGAGACATGATATGAGACATTACCGAGCCCTTGTGTGGCCTGGTACGATGATGTGTGATGTGAGGCTACCGAGTCCTCTTAAGGCTGACTACACTGAGTCCTCCTGAGGCTGGTAAGACCGAATCCTCTATGAGGCCGGGTATCGAGTGATGTGAAAGAAGACTTTACTGAGTCCTCTCGAAGCCGGTTACGTCGAGTTCTGCCGAGACCAGGTACAGTCAAGACCTCATGAGGCTTGGTACGACCGAGACCGCTATGAGGCCGGGCATGGAGTGATGTGATGTGCCCCAAAGAGTGATTTGATTTTTTTTTTTTACAAAAGCTTGCATACATTCAGGATTTATGGTTATAGTAGTGTACGCCCCCGATGGCTTGTCTACGGTATTCAGGTTAAAATTTGTGCATTTCTATCTCTTATGTTATGCCTTTGGTTTACATACGTTATATGTTTTACATATATACTCAGTAAATCTTTCATATTGACGCCCCTTTTCTTTGGGAGTTGTGTTCATGCCCACACGTACAGATAGACCCGGTGACGTCCCTCTCCAATAAGGTATTTGTTCCAGATATTGGCCGTTGCACTCCACTTCTTCGGAGTAGCTGTTCAGAAGTCAATAGGTAACGAAGTGTATGTTTCAGGTATTTTGGGTATAGTGGGGCCCTATCCCGACCAAGTTGTACATATATGTATATTTTTTCAGCACTCTTAGACGCTTGCAAACTATGTTCGAATGTATATAAGAGTCGGTTTTGACTATGTTGGTAACAGTTATGAAGTTGTGTAAATTCTAAATTCTAGTATTATTACTTAGAGGGCTCGTTGGCCCAGGATTCATGATTAAAAAGGTCTTAGTATGGACGTTAGTTCACATGAGCCTCCGGGCGTCGTGTGCCGGTCGCACCTCCAAGGTTGGGGTATGACAGTTATTTCTCTATCTGTGTATTTTATATGCTTATATATTATTCATGTGCGTACATCACTGCATATGATTTTTGAATATGGACTGAGGTTGTGGCACGAGATTTCTGCCATGCGGATATTGTAATATTGTTATTTATTTGGGCACGAGATTTCTGCCGGGCAGATATTATGACATTGTTATTGATTTCGGCACGAGGATTCTGACGTGCGAATATTGTGATATTGTTATCGATTTGGCACTAGGTTTATGCCATGCGGATATGTGATATTGTAATCAATTTTGCACGAGATTTTTGCCGTGCGGGCTGTTATGTGATATTGTTTTGGCACGAGATCTTTGTCATACGGACTGTGATGTGATTTTGTTTTGGCACGAGGTCTTTGCTGTGAAGTTGATATGATTATGGAACGTGAGTTGTCCATGTAACGTGTGGATAAGGATCCATCCTTCTAGGGTCGCCCACTCATGTTTCTCTCTTGATGGCATACACGTAATTTGTGAATATTAAACGAATAGATTTGGAAATGGCAAGAGGTCTATGATGATATTGTTACTGTTATGGCACGAGGTGTTTGTCATGCAACGTGTGGATACAAATCCATCCCCCTAGGGTCACCCTCTCATGTTTCTCTCTTGATGGTGTATACGTAGGTTGTGAGAAATCAATAAGTTTTTGGTTGATTGTGATGCGGGATCCTATGTGATGAGTTATTGAGCATAAGGGTGGAAGCTTGGACATTCAAGTGATCCTTTGTGCATATTCATGCATTTACATGTAATATTCACGCATATCATCTATATATGCTAGTTGATGCATTTTACATATGTACAAGACTTGTTAGTAATTTGTTGGACACGTGGAGAGAGTATCGGATTGATGTAAAAAGAGTTATCATCATACATTGAAAGATTAGACTCATAAACATGGTACTTAGAAATTGATGCGAAATTGAATCGTTGTTATGTACAGACACTCTACATTCATGTAGGAGTATTTGAGCACACACTACTTGGTGCATGTCTCTTTGCATGCGGAGTTGGTGCAAGTTGTATTTGCTTGATCTATTTAATTGGCAAGGCTTGTTTATTACCTTTACCCTAGTTGTGCACCTTTATTATTGATATCCGTTATTCTGTGACTCTCTCTTTGGATACCTCCTGTATTATACATGTTATACAAAGTGAGTATCTATTTTGACTTAAAAGTTTCGTCACTACTTCACCGAGGTTAGTCAGGATACTTATTGAGTACATGGAGTCGATTGTACTCATGCTACACTTCTGCAGTTTGGGGGCAGATCTTGGAACTGAGCTGTTGTGGATGACGAAGGCTAGCATTGAAGATGTACCTGTGTTCCAGACATAAGCTACCACTTGTTCTTGGTAGCTTAGGATTTGTATTTCTGTTTATATATATTCAAACAGATATTGTATTTATCCTTCATACTAGCTTTATAAATCTAAATCTTATTGGCTCATGACTTGTACTATTAATCCTTGGGATATTGTATGAAATCCAACTGTTTTATTCATTGCATATTTATGATCTCCATTAAAATTGGGTGAACTATTGCTTGACTTACCTAGCATGTTGGGGTTAGGTGCCATCACGACTAGGTGTGATTTTTGTTCGTGACATAACTATAGGACTCCATGTCTGTTTCCTCCGCAACTTTTTTGTTGCTTTCTTGAGCTGTTTTTTTTTTTTTTTTTTTTTTTTTTTTTTTTTTTTTTTTTTTTTTTTTTTTTTTTTTTTTTTTTTTTTCTGTTTCCATATTGGTGGCATCTTTATTCTGTAACACATCTTGTGATGCTCGTTCACTGATGTCTACCTTCTCTGGGTTCTCCTAGTTATCTTTTCTTGATTAACTTGCCTCTTAGTACTAGGCATCTTCAATTGGTTCTCCTTAGTAATAGAATAACTATCTTCTGAACGATTAACTAGAGCTAGTATGGACAAGTTTAAATTGGACTTTACTTTTCTTTTTGGGAAGTTCTCTTGTCTTGTACTTTTTTTTTGCCCTCTTGCTTATTATATCCCTTAGGGATTGGTTATGGTCTTCTAATCCTTCAGTTCCTCATTTCTCAACATATCAGACTGCACCACGTGAATTGTATCTTTTTCGGTGACCTCCACATTAGTGATAGACTTTGTTTTTGTTCTTCGTCCGTCCTGTTTTTCTCGTTTTTATACTTGTTCACATTTTGCTTCTTGTTTCCTGCCACTATTTTCTCCTCCATTTCTCTATTTTCCTTGGTTCTTTCTTTACTACTTTCTGGATTGTCATGTATCTCCTTAGCCTTTTGATTTGTGGTAGCAACATTCTTTTGTTTATCTGGCTTGTCATGTATCTGCCAGTATTCTTTTGTTTGCTTGCTTCAAGCTTATTGTCATCAGCAAACCTATATTGCAAGATAGAATGGCCCAAAATCTTGTAATGTTTACAGTAATTTGGAACAGAGTTTAGCTTAGGCTTAATGAGGTCAACTTCTACCCTAACCTTTGCCATGCTAGGTCTAGTTCTATAATCGGGAGCAACATCCATCGACAGAGGAATTCCACAGGTCCAATAATTTGTTTCACATAGTTCTAAGTATGACAATGAAATGGTACGAGATTGATTACACTAAAAAAGGAAAAATGTAACATACATCACGTAAAATATAAGGTATTTTTCTAACAGTCCGTATGTAGTCCATGCTCATAAATCATAATCCTACTAAGATAAAGGCTTGGGAGAAAAAGTGCCGTTGGAAAGTTGTGACTCATAAATATTCTTAAATAACTAACTCCCATCGGATTTCCCCATTCCCATATATACCCAACACCAAACATATGCAACTAACACCAGCTCTCGAAATTTGACTTTTTTAGACGTAACCCCTATATTTCATATGACACTTTCACCCTTTTTCGTCTTCATTTTCTTAATTTTTATTTTCGGTCCTATCAGTGGATGTACTAACGGGTCAAATAGTTTTGTGGGTCTTTACAAATCTGTTTTTAATTTTATGATCCTAACGTGTTATTTTTTCATTATCCCTTTTGTTTTTTCATGTCCGTATATGTAAACTAGTTGCTATAATATTTTGCGGGATATTCACCAAATAACTAAAAATTACCCAATTAAGAAAGCATAACATATTGACTATAATGAAAAGTACATAAGTTGTACTAAACGTAATAAATCAAATTTAGGTATTTAAAATTGTTATTCAAACGATGGTTTGGTCGAAAGATAATTTCTTTACATTCCTTATTCTCAATTTTAAAACATTGCTCCAAATACAGTATAATAGAAAGAACCCCGTATAGTTGCATTAAATAACTCAAATTCATGGGCACTTTAAATATGTTATTTAATTTGCATTATCATTGTTTTTTTACTAACTTAATAATTCTTAATCATTTTATTTTTATATTATTTTGCAACATAACTTGTAATTACCTCCACTTTTGTTTAAATAAAGGAAATATGGTTTTCTCAAGGGCATTCCTATCATTTCACAAAACTCAACAACATTGACATGTTAAAAGACCAATCAATTTCTAGGATATACTCCCTCCGTTCACTTTTACTTGGCACGTTTTGACTTTTCACGCCTCTTAAGAAATAATAAATGAAGTGCATAATTTACCATGATACCCATATGAATTGATGCATATTTTATTGGATTTGAGAAAATGATTTGAAATGAGTAATAAATATTGTGGGTATAACAAGATAAAAAAATTTATCTTATGCGTAAAGTGACAAGTAAAAATAAAAATCTATTTTTAGTATACCTGCAAGTAAAAGTAAACGGAGGGAGTAGCTAACTTTTATTTATAAACAGATTAAGTATCCACAACAGAATATAGGGGTAGTTGTCATTTGAGGTCATCAAACAGAGTCAATACCTTAAAATTTGGCTGATGGCATTGGACAAAACTAAAGAAAAGAAACAACAGAAGGAACAAAGAGTTGTTGAAAGATTCATAATTTCATTTCCATTGAATACCTCCTTCTTCCTTCCCTCCAAACTTTTCCTCCAAATGAATATTTTCTGCCCCTTGAATTTTTCCCATAACCTCACCTTTAAGTCAAGAAAATGTTTTCTCTTGTAGTTATCCAAGAAAATTTTCTTTGAGGTTTTGTCCCCAAAACATATCCAGAAAAAGAAATTTTGAAAGAGATTTGGAAATATCAAAAGGGAGAAATCAATGGAGAATTCGCTGGGAGCTGAAGTTGTGGCTGTTTTTGCAGTCTCAGGAAGTATTGTTCTCCTTGCCTTGAAAGTCCATAAGCACCTTCTTTCTGATTTTATGAAGAAGATAGAGTTTGAAATACGTATACATCTTGCCCTTATTTATTTATTTGCAACAAAATGACCCTACTCCAACTACTTCAATTTTCGTGGCACATTTTCTTTTTTAGTTTGTCCAAAATAAGGACACATTCAATATTAAAAAAAAAAAATTAATTTTAAAATTCATGTTTTACCCTTTATTAACTAATTTATAGTCATACATATATCTATTACTTAGTTTTAGGTTATAAGTTTCTTAAGTTTTTATTTTTTATTAAACTTCATGTCCTGTCAAACAAGACCATATAAAATGGGACTGGGGGAGTAATAAATTTTACCCTCTCTAAGTATCTTATTATATTAGATCAATATAACTTGAGATTAAGAAAAATAAAATCTTAAAAACAAGGATTTGCAAATCAGATATGGTGAGTCTTTCCTATTCAGTTTACCTTTACTTATTACTTCTGTTATAATGTTGATATTTCTTTTATTACGTGTATTATTTTTCTGTTTTGTCTATTTTCTTTTGTTTNCCAACCGACGACAAAACTCGGTATCATTATCGAGCCCATATCCAAATCGAACTACGAGGTAACACCGACCCCGAATATCGATGCCCCAAGGCAGAATCGAGCTCAAAACAAGACTGGGAGTTCGATCTAATATCGAGCTCGAGCCAGTGTCAAGCTCGCAGACAAGAGCCGTTACAACCGCACCAAGGGAGAGAATCTTGGCGAAAATCGAGGAAGAGACAAACTATCATGGGTCATCCACTACATGTATTATTTTATTATATTGTTATAGATAAAACAGTGACCCTCTATTATAAAAGGGGGACACCCTTATAAGATAAAGGGGGAGAGCAATAAACATATCTTTTTCTCACATACATTGAGATTTTCTTTGTGCTTGATTTGTCTCAACTTATTTGGTTTTTCTATTCATCATTCCCATTTTCATAGCAAAAATATCTGTATTGTTACTTTTGTATCAAAGAAATTTGCGTATTCTTAGAACCATATCTAAATTTAACGTTATCCAATTTTTCGGGTAAACAGTTTGGCGCCCACCGTGGGGATAAGGGTAACAGAGATTGTTTGATACAAATATACAGTACACTTCAGCTTACAACTGAAAATCAGTAATGGCTCTGCCTATCGACCTCGAAGCCGGCCTTCAAGATGAAACCAACAACTTGGCGCCCGGAGCCGGAAGGCTACCTGACAATGGCAACGAGGCTCGAATAGAAGAACTGGAAATTCAAGCCGAAGTACACTGGATATCAATTCACAAATAGCTCGGGAGGCGAATCAGCGTTCTGAACCGGAAAGAAGCGTTCAGGGCAGCGCTCGACCCATAGCTCGAGACACCTACAGCACGAGGGAAATCAGGGTCAGCTTGCGTATGATTTTTGAAATGCTACAAGCCCAACAAGCAGCGATAGCTCAGTTGCAGAGCCAAATTCATATGCAAAGCAGGCCGAGCTCCAATCTACTTCTTCGAGAAGTCACCCCCAGAACGGAGCCCGCCATAGTGAAATCAAACGAGCAGGAATTAGGGACTGCTCCTGAAATTGCTAAATTGCTCGAGGAACTCACAAAACAAGTCGAAGCCAACGACAAAAAAATGGAAACGCATAATGCTAGGGTCGATCAAATCCCGAGGGCTCCGCCAATGATAAAAGGGCTCGATTCGAAAAAATTCATACAAAAGCCTTTTCCCTCGAGCGCGGCCCCAAAACCATTCCCAAAAAAATTCCGTATGCCCGAAATTCCCAAATATAACGGTACGACCGATCCTAACGAACACGTCACCTCCTACACATGTGCCATCAAAGGCAATGATTTGGAGGACGATGAGATCGAATCCGTGTTGTTGAAAAGGTTCGGAGAGACCCTCGCAAAGGGAGCAATGATCTGGTATCACAATTTACCACCAAATTCCATTGATTCTTTTGCCATGTTAGCAGATTCATTCGTAAAAGCACATGCTGGTGCCATAAAGGTTGCAACAAGGAAATCAGACCTCTTCAAAGTAAAACAAAGGGGTAACGAAATGCTGAGGGAATTCGTTTCCCGATTTCAGATGGAACATATGGATTTGCCACCGGTCACAGACGATTGGGCCGTACAAGCTTTTACCCAAGGGTTGAACGAGCTAAGTTCGACAGCATCACGTCGGCTGAAACAAAATTTGATCGAATATCCAGCAATAACTTGGGCAGATGTACACAACCGATATCAATCAAAAATCAGGGTCGAGGATGATCAATTGGGAGCTCCGTATGGACCCGTGCATCAGAACCACACAACCACTAAAAACCAGAGGGAGATCAACAGAGAACAAAGGTCGAACAGAGACCGATATCAACTATACGTCAAAGATCAGATGAACAACGGTTCAGCACGTGAGATAGTTCGGAACAACCAAAGGGCTGATCGAGGGAAAACTTCTCGGGAACTTATGAGCAAGAGCGGCTTTGATAAATATGCCGATCCTATAGAGGTTCCTCGATTATCGGAATATAACTTCAAAGACACCAGATGTCCTCGACCCATGCAGACCGATCCTACCCAAAGGAATCCCAATCAAATATGCGAATATCATAGTACTCATGGCCACAGAACGGAAGATTGCAGGCAATTAAGAGAGGAAGTAGCCCGCTTATTTAACAAAGGGCACCTCCGGGAATTTCTGAGTGATAGGGCGAAGAATTATTTTAAGAACAAGGACTTCGTCAAGCAAAACGAGCTAGAAGAACCGCAACACGTCATTCACATGATCATCGGCGGCGTCGATACCCCTCAGGGAACGATGCTTAAACGTACTAAAACATCGGTTGTGAGGGAAAAGTGATCTCGAACTCAAGATTACACACCCATAGGGACTTTGTCTTTCGATGATGAAGATGCAGAGGGAATCATCCAACCCCATAACGATGCACTGGTAATATCTGTACTCATGAATAAAATTAAAATTAAGCGTAGGTTAATTGATCTAGGTAGCTCGGCCAATATCATCAGATCGAGGGTCATAGAACAGCTCGGCCTACAAAACCAGGCCGTACCTGCAACTCTGGTTCTAAACGGATTCAATATGGCATGTGAAACCACCAAAAGCGAGATAACCCTACCGATAAACGTGGCCGGAACCATTCAGGAAGCAAAGTTTCACGTGATCGATGGCGATATGAGATATAACGCCCTTTTCAGAAGGCCGTGGATCCACAGCATAAGAGCTATACCCTCGACCCTACACCAGTCATCAAATTTCCAACATCGAGAGGTGTCAAAATAGTATACGGAGAACAACCGGCCGCAAAGGAAATGTTCTCCATTGAGGAAACAAAATCAATATCTTCGTCCTCACCGACAAAAGGATCGGGTTCAGAAGAAGACACAATCAAAGAGCAGAGCGCCAAATAGCAATCACAGACATCGGCTTCGACCCAGCCAGGTAAGCAGAACATTAAAGAAGATGATGATCAATGGATCCCTCGATCCTTCGTGACCCCCGATGATTCTGATGCCACCAAATCAACAATTGAGGAACTATAGCAAATCATAAATTGAGGAACTATAGCAAATCATACTGATCGAACACTGGCCCAAACGAAAGGTATACCTAGGAACGAGTTTGAGCCCCGAACTCAGCAAGAAACTCATTCAATTTCTTGTCGATAACTTTGACTGTTTTGCATGGTCCCATTTAGATATAACAGGGATCCCACAGGACATAATGAGGCATCGGCTGAGCGTGGAGCCTAGGTTCAGACCGGTGAAGCAAAAAAGAAGACCCCAATCGGAGGTACAACACGCATTCATAAAGGATGAGGTAACCAAACTTCTTAAAATAGGGTCCATTCGAGAGGTGAAGTACCCCGAATGGTTAGCCAATGTGGTTGTAGTGCCTAAAAAAGGGAACAAACTTAGAATGTGTGTAGACTATAAGGACTTGAACAAAGCGTGCCCCAAAGATTCCTTTCCATTGCCCAACATCGATCACATGATCGATGCCACGGCCGGCCACGAGATCCTCACCTTTCTCGATGCCTATTTCGGGTATAATCAAATTCAGATGAACCCGGGCGACCAGGAAAAGACTTCATTTGTGACCAGATACGGAACATATTGTTATAATGTAATGCCCTTCGGGCTAAAAAATACAGGAGCTACTTATCAACGCCTAGTAAATAAAATGTTCGAAGAACAAATAGGTAAATCAATGAAAGTCTATATTGATGACATAATAGTTAAGTCCCTGCGCGCAGAGGACCATTTGACCCATTTGCAGGAAACGTTCGAGATTCTGAGGAAATACAACATGAAGCTCAACCCCGAAAAATGTGCTTTCGGGGTCGGTTCGGGTAAGTTTCTCGGCTTCATGGTATCAAATCGGGGAATCGAGATTAACCCCGACAAAATCAAGGCCATCGAAAACATCACCATCGTGGACAGCGTGAAAGCTGTACAAAGGTTAACAGGAAGAATTGCAGCCTTAGGCCGGTTTGTTTCAAGATCATCAGATCGAAGTCACAAATTTTTCTCTCTACTCAAAAAGAAGAACGACTTCGCTTGGACACCGGAATGCCAACAAGCATTACAGGAACTGAAACGATATCTATCGAGCCCGCCATTGCTTCACACTCCAAAAGCCGACAAAAAACTTTACCTGTACTTAGCGGTATCGAAAGTCGCCGTAAGTAGTGTCCTAGTTTGAGAAGAGCAAGGTACGCAATTTCCCATTTATTACGTAAGTCGGACCTTAGGTGAAGCGGAAACTAGGTATCCGTACTTGGAAAAATCATCACTTGCACTGGCAAGCGCCTCAAGAAAGTTAAGGCCGTACTTTCAATGTCACCCCATAAGCGTATTAACCACCTGCCCACTTCGTAATATTTTACATAGGCCCGAACTATCAGGTCGATTGGCCAAATGGGCCATCGAACTCAGTGGGTACGATATCGAATATCAACCTCGTACGGCCATCAAGTCTCAAATTTTAGCAGACTTCGTGGCCGACTTCACGCCAACCCTCG